AGCCTGCGGCGCCGCCGCCACGCCGGGGACGGCGACCACAACATCGAGGTGCTGCTGGGCGTGGACGACTCCGTGGTCCGATTCCACGGCAAGGAGCACGTCCAGAACTACCTCCTGACCCTCATGAACATCGTGAGTATCCTTTGGGAGCTGCTGGGAGCTCTTGTCGGAGTGCCACGTTTGGGGAAAGCAGCAATGGGATCGTTCTGACTGCTGCTGGAGAAGGTTTTCTGGTTTACAGATGTTCCTTTAATTCATCTTTTTCGCAGTAGTTTCCTTCCTAGGGCACATTCCGAGGGTATTTCCAATAATGAGGAAATAGTTGAACAATAGTAAGGGGAAAAAAGTAAACTTAATCCATTTCTAGTAATTCTGAGCTTCTGTCACAGCACAGTTCTGGAGAAAAACTGATTAAAGCATAAATATCTAGAGGAAAAGGAGTTCTAAACCCTCAATGGCTCTCTGACAGAGTAGACCTTCTGGTAATACCAGTAGATCTGTCTTAGATACTGTGGCAGCATAAGGTTGTACAGGAAATGAAAACAGTCTCTTAAGGATGAGGATGGGGGACTAATTATTCCCACAATTATTCCCATTAATAATGGTTTTATGGCTGTAGGAATGATTGTTATCTATTTTACACTCTTTTATTCCTGGAATAATTTAAAAATTATTCCTTGGGTTTTCAGAGCTTCTAAATTTGAGAACTTAGAATCTAGGAGGAAAAAAATGATTCCTGTATGAAATTTAACCCAACCAATATGATGTTTTCCAGAACGTCACTGAGAGAATCATCTCCTTTTTTCCCACATACACCGTGGAACATCAGCATTAAATCTCCATTACACATTACTGCAGAATATTGTCCTTATGGTTTTGAAACCTTTTCAGTGAGCAGCAGGGCTGATCCATGGCCCAGACCACATCCAGGTTTTTCTCATGCCTGTGGCTCCATCTGCTGGGGCCGAAGGCAGAGCGAGCTGCCACCCTCCTGCCCAGAGCCATCCAGAGAAGGGGATAAAATGGGGGCTATGGGGAAATCTTGGAGACTTGACATTTAAGGTCAACTCCAGGGTCCTTTTCATCTCAAGGGAAGTCATTCCAGTGTCTAGAAAGCTCCCCTGTTGTCTACTGGCACAAGGGAAGTTGTGAACACTTATCCTGGCCCAGCTCTTTGTGGGAGCAATGCTCTTTCATTGATGAGGAGAAAATAAGAGAGGAATACCTGACCTTTAGGATGATTGCTTCACAGGACAGGCAGCCTGAGCTCTGTGCTCATTCTCTGTCCCACTGCCCTGCTGACTCTGCTCTCAGCCGCAGGGATTTCAGGTTTAAACCACGGGCTGAAATCCTCGTGCCGGGGCCCACAGTCTGGACAGGTCCCAGTGACCTTTTTCCCTGAGGGGAAGTTCTGTTTAGCCTGACTGAAAAATAAAACAACCCTCTAACTCCTGCTCAAACCCATGAACCTCTGAACAGGGGTGTTTATTTCTCACCAGTTGCCCATAATATAATATTTATTTTGTTTTTAGGGGAATGAGGAGCTTCATTGAGGACCTGCAGATGTTTCACACTCTGGTGCCAGGACATTTCTCACCTTCCCAGACACAGGGAAGGGCCTCAAGAAGGACAACTTCTGGCCCATCTGCATAATTCTGTTTTTCTAACTTCCCTTCCACAAAGCCTCTTTTTAGTACAGAAGTGACCACAGATTTCTAACAGATCTCGAAAAAGTAGGGCAGCAGTATAAGTTGCTCCTAAAAAAATACTCTTCGAAACAAGAAGCACTGGAAGTGCTCCAGGCCAGGATGGACAAAGCTTGGAGCAACCTGGTCTAGTGGAAGGGGTTCCTGGCCATGGCAGGGGGGTGGAATGAGATGAGCTTTAAGATGCCTTCCAGCCCAAACCAGTCTGGGATTCTGTGATTGTACTTGAAGTCTTTTCCCCAATCCCCTTTTCTCTGAGCTCTGATCCATGAAACATGAGAGGAGGCTTGACATGTGCTTCCCAAAGTTCCATGTGAAGAGGGGGTATGTGATGACAGGAAGTGAATCTACGCTTTCCACTGAGCAAATGATCTGAGACTTGAATCCTCTTCTGAGGACTGCAGTGGTACAGGCACTTGAAAAAACATCTCCGTGGCCTTGGAAGTTCCCTTGGTATCATCAGTGGGTTTTTCTTCCTTTTTAATATTTCCCCTTTTTTCCCTCAGGTGAATGAAATTTACCACGACGAGTCCCTGGGCGTTCACATCAACGTCGTGCTGGTCCGAATGATCATGTTGGGGTACGCCAAGGTGAGCGAGCCGCTTCTCCCCCCTCCTGCCCCGGGCAGAAAATGCAGACCCTGCTGAGCAGGCTGGCCCTGGGAGCAGCGGGGTGTAAGGTGTGGCTCTCTCAGTCCATCAGCCTGATCGAAAGGGGGAACCCCTCGCGCAGCCTGGAGAACGTGTGCCGCTGGGCCTATCAGCAGCAGAAGCCGGACCCCAGCCACGCCGAGCACCACGACCATGCCATCTTCTTAACCAGGCAAGATTTTGGGCCCGCTGGTATGCAAGGTAATGCAGCTGACCCAGAGCAGAGCTCTGGGCTCGGTGTTTCTTGGCTGGCATCTGCCAGAAAAGAGGAAAAATTGGGAATTGCATTGTGAGCTCCCTGCCTTATTCATTCTGCAAGTGGTTTCAAAAGCAAGGAGACCTTGCCATGAATCCTTGCCATTTATATCCAACCACAGATTGATTTTCTTTCTTGAGAGTTGTAAATAAATAAATTCTTCTTAGCTCTCTTCAAACTCCTGTATGTGCAGGGATCACTGGGAACCTCAACGCACGTGGCATTCCACTCCCTTTATTTTATTGCATCTTTCATCCCAGATTTCCATATATTGACATCCCAGCCACTCTGAGGCCTGCATCCATCCTTTGGCCTCAGGGAACTAATGATAGTGGGCAGGAACTCCCAAAGTTTGGCATGTGTCAGAGCAGGCAGCGGTCAGGTTGAGGAGCCAGGCAGGCTGCCCTGGCCCTAGAGCAATGTTATCTTTTCCTGAGGAAGTTTTCTGGGGGTTCTCATTTAAAATCCAAGTGCTGGGCACAAGACTCAGCCCTGATGTCTCTCTGTAGGGTATGCTCCTGTGACGGGCATGTGCCACCCGGTCCGGAGCTGCACCCTCAACCACGAGGACGGGTTTTCATCAGCCTTTGTTGTTGCTCATGAGACTGGGCACGTGTAAGTACCACTTTTACCATCAGGTCACACCAAAATGCTGTGCTGCACTTCCTGCTTGCTCCAAGGGTGTTGGATTTGATGGCTCTGTGGAAGCTCTCCTGATTTTATTTCCAACCCCCTGGGAATGCAGTAGTGGTTGAAGAGAGGGAGGGACAAGTGAGGGAAGGAATGAAGGGTGAACTTATTTTCTCTGGGGTGAGGGAAAGGTCAGGAAGGGACCTGGGAGGTCCAGGCAGTGGTGGCAGGAGTGTCCTTCACTGCCTTCACCTCAACTGGCTGTGCTGGGGGTGGGTCAGATTTGGTACCTGTTCCAGAGCTGTTTCCTTACAGCTGTTTTTGCAGTAGCTCTGAGGGGAGTTCTTTGTTGCAGGCTGGGCATGGAGCACGACGGGCAAGGGAACAGATGTGGGGACGAGACGGCGATGGGCAGTGTCATGGCCCCCTTGGTGCAGGCCGCCTTCCACCGCTACCACTGGTCCCGCTGCAGCGGCCAGGAGCTCAGGAGATACATCCAGTAAGGCCTCCCTGGCACAGCCAGCCTCTGATCCCTCGCTTTTCAGACCCTCTTTCCCTTCAAAGCTCTGTTAGAAGAGCTCTGACCCATGAAGGCTGTGTCCTCACACGGTCCATAGCCCATCCACTCAGGGTGAAAAGTTTGTGGAAAGACCCCTCTAACTCCAGTGGGATTTGGAATAGGCCTCAGATTGTCACAGAATCCCAGATCTGTTTGGGTTGGAAGGGACCTTAAAGCTCATCTCATTCCAAAGCCCCTGCCATGAGCAAGAACCCCTTCCACTAGACCAGGCTGCTCCAAGCAGGCGCCACCAGCCTGGCCTTGGACAGTTCCAGGGATAGGGCAGGAATTAAGAGTATACATCTTCTCACAGTATTTTTTTCTGTGTCTTTTTCCATAGCTCTTATGACTGTCTTCTTGATGACCCCTTTGAGCATGACTGGCCCAAGCTTCCTGAGCTGCCAGGCATCAACTATTCCATGGATGAGCAGTGCCGCTTCGACTTTGGTGTGGGCTACAGGATGTGCACAGCTGTACGTCCAGACACGGCGAGGGCGTGGGGCCTGGTGGGAGAGCTGCAGTGCCATCATCGTTGGAGAGAAGTTAATGCAGAATTTAGAGATCTGTAAAGAGCAGAGGGATATTTATGGGGGAAACTCAGTCCTCTGGGTCCTGCGGAGTAATGGGAAAATGAGTGGCAGCATGGTCCATGTGGCACACACTGGTGAGAGCAATTCCAAGAAAGAAGAGGAAAACCAAAAATCTTCCTTTTGTCCCACTTCTGGGTGTCTTCTTTCCTCTTTTCACTAGCCCAGGGCTGGGGGATGCAAGGAATAATCACTGCCCTGAAGATGCCAGGCCCATTGGGGTGTATGAGATGGAATCTACAGAGTGGGTTGGATCCTTATCCAAAAAGTATAAATAAAATAACAGATACAAATAAATTATAAACAAAATACAAGACTATTATCCAAAAAGTACAAGCCATCTCATGTTCTGCATTTGGTCTCTCTGTGTTTTTCAGTTCCGAACCTTCGATCCGTGCAAGCAGCTGTGGTGCAGCCACCCCGATAACCCCTACTTCTGCAAGACCAAGAAAGGGCCTCCCCTCGATGGCACCGAGTGTGCCCCAGGAAAAGTGAGTCTGGCACTCTGCTAGTCCTGGGGAGAAACCAACAGTTTCCTCCATTTGGGCTGAAGGGCACAGAGGGGAGCGGGGAATTGCCTGGCATTCCTGGGGTGAAGCGAGACCGTGGGGAAAGCTGTGCTTTCCCACTGGGATGTTCTGGGAGCTGTGCAAGGTTTGCTCTTGCACATTTTGGACATAGAGATTCCAGCTGAGGTGCAACCTGTTCTGTGGCCTCTTTGTTAGGTTTTCTGGTCTCACCTGCAAAGTTTCCATCAAGTGCCTTTAGGAATTCGGGGAAGCAGATGATGCTGTTACTGTGGGATGGCTGCTCAGAACTCACTGTCCAGACACCCTGTGGCAAATGTTTGTGTAGACTGAGGATTAGTGCCTGATTTTTCCCTTTAATGTCCCTATTAGTGGGTGTTCTGCTGCCAGTCCATTTTCAATTATGAAATTATACTCAGATACCTGCGTTTTTGTAGCAAATTCCCTTTATTATGAAATACAGGAGAGCCACTTGTGCAATCTGAATGTGCCCCAGGCAGCAGCAAAATATTGCTGTCCAGTGCTTATACATTTGATTTGGGGATTGTGTCCGTTCTCACCTGTTTGCTGCCCCAATTCCCTCAGTGGTGCTACAAGGGTCACTGCATGTGGAAGAACACCAACCAGCTGAAGCAGGATGGACACTGGGGAGCCTGGACCAAGTTTGGCTCCTGCTCACGGACCTGTGGAACTGGGGTTCGCTTCCGCACGCGCCAGTGCAACAACCCAATGTAGGTGTGGGAGCTGCACCCACCTGGGCCTCCTCAGAGGGGCCACTTGGGTGGCATTTGGGTTTCGGGTGGACAGTCTGTTCAAGCCCCTCGAAATGGGATCATTTGTGGAGAATCCAAGAATTCCATAGAATTACAGAATCCCAGACTGGGCTGGCCTGGAAGGGACCTTAAAGCCCATTCCATTCCTCCTCCTGCCATGGGCAGGGACACCTTGTGCTGTGCCAGGTTGCTCCAAGCCCTGTCCAGCTTGGCCTTGGTCACTTCCAGGGATGGGGCAGCCTGTGCCAGGCCCTCAGCACCCTCAGAGGGAACAATTTCTGCTTCTCCCTGATGAAAATCTCTGGAATATTTTCTTCTCCCAGGCCCATCAATGGAGGTGACGATTGTGCCGGGGTGAATTTTGAGTTCCAGCTGTGCAGCACCGAGGAGTGTCCGAAGCACTTTGAGGACTTCAGGGCACAGCAGTGCCAGCAGCGCAATTCCCACTTCGAGTTCCAGGGCAGCCGGCACCACTGGCTGCCCTACGAGCACCCCGACCGTGCGTCCTGCTCTGGGCCTTTAGTGACTCTTGAAAGGGTTTGAAGCCGTTCCCCTTGGCCTGGATATCTCTGGGGCAGGCCCACAACTCCCAGAAAAGCAAATGAGTTGGTTCCCTCCCCATCCGTCTGTCTGTTATGGCTGAAAATCAATAGTGTTTTGCCTTAAATCCAGACTTTAATACCAAATTCCCTGCTCTGACTCAAGTTTTTGCATTTTAGCCCCAAACAATCAATTTCTCTCTTATTTATCCCTAAAATTGGCAGTTTTGACCCTAAATCAGCACATTATATGTAAAAAATAGCAGACTTGCCCTAAATCCCTGATTTTAACCTGCATTTTCCCTACTCTGACCCAAATTTGCCCTTCTTATTGCCAAAGCCCCAATTTTCCCCCCAGACATGCCCTTTTATCCTTAAAGTTGACATTTTTGCTCCAAATTTGCAGAATTGTGTCTCAAAACCACAAGTCTTGCCCTAAAATCCCCCATTTCCTCCCAGGCCCCCACTTTAACCCTAAAATTCACCTTTATTACTTCAAATTGCTTGTTTATCCCTAAAATGGATACTTCTTACCCCAAATGGCCAATTTTCCCCCCAGACATGCCCTTTTATCCTTAAAGTTGACATTTTTGCTCCAAAATTTGCAGAATTGTGTCTCAAAATCACTAGTTTTGCCCAAACTCCCCAGGTTTCTGCCGGAACCATGCCCATTTTCCTCCAAAGGTTCCCCACAGCGCACGCGTTCCTTCCCAAACCGTTCCGTTCCCCTGCTCTGCCCCCACGCTCACCCCCAGACCTGCCTGTCCCTTCTCACTGCTCGCTCCGCCGGTGGCACAGCTGCTGGGAGCACACCTGGATCACTGCCCTCCTGCAGCCCTTTGTTGTTTTCCCTGGCTCCACAGCTGCCAAGCGGTGTCACCTGTACTGCCAGTCCCGGGAAACGGGGGATGTGGCTCCCATGAAGCAGCCGGTGCACGACGGGACTCGCTGCTCCTACAGGGATCCCTACAGCATCTGTGTCCGTGGGGAGTGCGTGGTGAGTGGCACCTGCTCTGGGGACAGCTCGTGGGCACAGAGAGGCTTTGCAGAGGTCTCTGAATTCCCTATTTGCAGCATTGTATTCCTCTGATTCCTTGAGATGGAAATTAAATTAGAGACCAGCACAGACCTGTTCCAGGGAAATGCTCTGCTTGTCTTCCCCTCATTGTGCCTTATCATAGAATCCCAGACTGGTTTGGGCTGAAAGGGAACCTAAAGCCCATCAGTTCCACCCCACTGCCATTTCCTTCCACTAGCCCTGGTTGATCCAAGCCCCATCCAACCTGGCCTTGAGCACTTCTAGGGCTGGGGCAGCCACAGCTTCCCTGAGCAACCTGTGCCACGGCCTTAGCACTGTCACAGGACAGAATTGCCTCCTAATGTCCAGTCTTGCCCTTTTTTGTGCAGAAAGTGGGCTGTGACAAGGAGATTGGCTCCAGCAAGGCTGAGGACCAGTGCGGGGTGTGCGGCGGGGACGACTCCCATTGCCGGACCGTGAAGGGGACCTACACCCGCACTCCCAAAAAGCTGGGTAGGAATAGCAGCTGCCTGCAGCTGGCTGGGGCTCCTGCTGCCTCTGGGCTTTGTGGGACACTCACACACATGAGATAACGCCATCATCGTTGAAACCTTGGGTGTAACACCGTCCCAAGAGGCCCATCTTTGAGCCTGTTCAGGGCACGCTGCTGTCCATCGGCCCCTGACTGTGGATGGATATGGAAGTGATGGAGGTGTTCAGGGAATGCTGATAGATTTTCCCTAGCCTGGGTAACCTGGTCATTAAGGAGGGTAATAGACCTCTTTCTACAGGGAAACATGCAAGCCAGAGGTGCTCAAAAAGAATTTGAGGTTCTAGAAAACAGTTTCTGCAAGTACCCAACTCAAACTCCTGCCTGGATTATCTGACTTCCATGGACTGGTTGTCTTGCCCAGATGTGTCCAAATCTGCTGTAAATGCATTTGTCTGTGATGTAATTTACATGTTTTGCTTGTAAAGAGCATCTGGGTGACCCCCAGTCAGTGGAATGGCCAGACTCAGCTCTCAGGACACTAAATCCAGGTGTTCTGTTTAAGGGAAGAAACAGAAACAGAGGAGCCTTTCCCTTACCCAGAGGAGCTCACAGTGTTTCCCTTTCTGGGGCAAAGGAGGCTCAAAACATTCTGGGTAAGTGCAAGGCTTGTAGGGAGAGAGGCATCCCTGGGAATGGCAGTTCCTATCATCCTGTAGACACACACAGGTAATGCTAAAGCAGACAAAATCTTGATGTTCCCTGTGCTCTAAAGGCAGTGGAGGAAAAGATTGGAAATGCTGTTGGGCACAGGTACTGCTCAGCCAGGCCTGTGATCTTCCCTATTCCCAGCTCTTCTGTTCCTTCACTCGGATTTTTGCAGGAGCAGGACAGACTGCCAGTACATCCAGTAGTCCCAGAATCCAGTGATTTTGGTTAATTGAATCTGCAGTTGTTAAAAGAAAATAACAGGAATATGAAAATGCCATGCACTCAGAGAACTTCGGGAGCTCTTGATCCCTAGAAGGGATTCTAGTCTTCCTAATGGCAGTGCTTCCTGAATTTTGCACTAATTACCTGTGATTTGCACTGGTAAATAATTGACATTGAAACTAAGAACGTTTTTATTTGGGAGCAGCTTTTTACTTTCACTGCAGACATGTCCATCTGAAAGGGCAGTCAGTAAGTTCCAGTCCAACAACCTGGCTGAGGACTGATTTGGGAAAGTAGTGAGAAAGATTTGTGCTTGTGCTGAGGAACACAGGAGACATCTCTGTGCCTGAATTGTTGATAGATGCTGCTTGGAGCAGCGTGGCCATAAATACTGAACTGACTCCATGTGGGAAGTGGCAAATCCCTCTGTAACTGGTGTCCCTTCTCTCCCTGGAGGAGAAGAGCCCAGGAGGGCCTGTGCCACCCTGCTTATCCACGACTGCTGGGTGCCCTCTCCTGCAAGCAGAGCTGGGCATGCCCTGCCCTCCTGACCATGGCTGTTCCTTTCTCTTTCCATCCCGGCTGCCTCCACTGACCCTGCACCTGCCAAAGGGTACCTTAAGATGTTTGATATCCCTCCTGGGGCTCGACATGTGTTTATCCAAGAAGATGAGGCCTCTCCTCACTTTCTTGGTAAGTGTTTTTCTGCTCAAGTTCGAGAAGAAACACAGGGGACTCAGGCCAGAGAATCTGAGGGATGAGAGAATCCAGTGAAGGGGTTGGGTAAATGTGGGCTTTCCAGATTGCATGGTCAGGGCCTAGTCCTGCAGTCCTACAGCTCAGCAGACAAACATCTGCTCATTTGAATTCTCCAAAATGTTAAACTGGCCCCAGTTTGCATGTGTACTAACCAAGGATTGTGATAACTCACAATCCTTGAACGTGGGAACTTCCAGGGTGAGTCTAATTCAGTATCTTTTAATTATTCCTATGGTACATTGCAAAAAGCTGTACGGAAGAACAATGGGTCTTGGAACTGGCTGATCTTTAAGGTCCTTTCCAATCCAAAGCATTCTGTGATCCCAGCTCTTAATGCATTGGCTTCTAATTGAAGCATTGTCATCGTCACCATCACAGTCCCCGCTGTACCTGGCTGTTGAGGTGTGCTGTGGAAGCCCAAACCCCGGCAGTTCCACAGGGCTCCTGTTCCTCAGCTCTTCACTTGCAGATTTTAGCATCACTTATGGATTTTAGCATGTGGGACACCCTAACCTGTGTGCGCAGGGCAAAGTAAAATGTGATGAAGGTCTGTTGTTTTCATAATCTGATGGAAATACCTCTCCCCGCGCCACCCCGATTGCCGCCAGTGCGGGGGAGGCACGACAGGCTCTGCTCTCCCTCCTCCCAGCAATCAAGAACCAGGCTACAGGACACTACATCCTGAATGGCAAAGGGGAGGAGGCCAGGTCCCGCTCCTTCATCGATCTGGGCGTGCAGTGGGAGTACAGCATCGAGGACAGCACGGAGACGCTGCACACGGACGGGCCCCTGCACGACGCTGTGGTGGTGCTGGTGGGTGACGCGCTGAGCTCAGCCTGAGGGGCCACCAGAGCCCGGCCTCGGTGTCTGTACCCAGCAGAGGAATCTGAACCAGCGCTGGGTTTATGTTTGCTAATTCCCAGATCATTCCCCGGGAGAACGACACCCGCTCCAGCCTGACCTACAGGTACATCATCCACGAGGATTCGGTGCCCACCATCCACAGCAACAACGTGCTGCGGGAGGACACGGACACCTTCGAGTGGGCCTTGAAGAGCTGGTCCCAGTGCTCCAAGCCCTGCGGTGGAGGTGAGCCGCTGATGAGCACCTGTAGCAAGGGACAAACTGCCAAAAAAGGCAAGGAGGAGGGAATGATTTATATTCCTGGCTTCCCTTTTTTAACAGTGGTTTGTTATTTTAGGGCTCAGGCTTAAAATACCTGAAGTACGCGATTGTTCCCAGGTGTCACACTTGCAGCCTAGGAAGAAAAAGGCTTCTTTTGGTGTTTAAATTCAGACCCCAAAGCTACTTTGGATGCCCAAACTCAGGCATTGATGCTCCTGAGCATTCCCTGTACTCATGGTCTGTCCATGGCTCTTAAGCAAATCATAGGGAATGCAAATTCCAAAATACCTGTCCTGTAAACCCATTTACTAGGCCAGAAAACCCTATTTAAGCCAAACATTCTAACAAGGACCTGATTCTCCCAATTCCTCTGATGTGTTTCCCAGGGTTCCAGTACACCAAGTACGGATGCCGCAGGAAGAGCGACAACAAGATGGTTCATCGAAGCTTCTGCGAAGGCAGCAAAAAGCCAAAGCCCATCCGCAGGATGTGCAACCTGCAGGAGTGCACAGAGCCCCTGTGAGTGTGAGAGCAGGGATTGCTCCTTCAGACAGGAGCGGTCCCGGCCAGATCGGATGGGATGAATCTGAGGGCAGTGCTGACAGCTTGCCAGCCTGCAGTTCCTGACTGTGGAGGGGAGTTTGTACCTGTGTAAGCATGGGTACTAATCTGATTGGGTGGTTGTGGTATATATATTTATTTTTATTTATAGTATTTACTTTATTTATATTTATTTATATGTGTATTTTTATATATAAAATCATGGGGTTGGGAGGCACCTTAAAGCTCATCTCTTTGCAGCCCCCTGCCATTGGGGGAGGGAATTTTTCCACTAGATGAGCTGGCTCCAGGGATGAGGCAGCCGCAGCAGGACAAAGAGGTTAACAGTTGGCGGCGTCTGACCGCATTTCCCTTCCCAGCTGGGCNTGGAATAGTTTTTGTCCATAGCTGGTAAACAAGAAGTTGTAAACAGCCTTGAGGCAAAACTGGAGCTGAGTCTCATCCCAGTTGCACTAATGAAATTTTGGCTGTGCAGGCATAGGGAAGTGGCTGTGCAAACACTTCAGATGACAGGAAATGGAAAAGCTCCATGGATTTCTATTATCCTGAAGCTGAGGGGGAGGAGGATTGGCTGGAAGGAGAAATTAAGCCAGTGCCTTGTGTTTTCACAGGGGCCTTGCCTGCTAAAACAAGCAGTGATAAACAATTGAGAGAGGCACAGGGGACAGAAACATAAATCATCTAAGAAAAGAGAAAAAATTATGCAATACCTAATTGGTATAAGAGGATGAATAACAGTAATCTGCTTCCATGTGGTAACTTGATAAGAGCAAGGCCTCCTTCCTTCATTTAATAGGCCAGAGAAAATCTGCAAAGGAATAAAGTGGGAGGGAGCCTCCCAGAGTGAAAACTGCCCCAACCCACAGTGGGTTCCCAAGCACAGGAGGCTCAGTCCCTGCTGGAATCGCAGACACAGCCTCCATGGACAAATACACAATGTAACGTCTCACAGCCTGACCAGGACAATTGTGTACCTCTGGGCAGAGAAATTCAGTTTTCCCTCATTAGAGCAGCAGTTCCAAGCCATTAGGAAGTGATGCCATTATTTTTGTGTTGGGCACGTTGAAGAAATCCCCTGGAGCAGCCACCACTGCCTCACCCCTGTGCACAACCTGCTGGGTTTGTCATCCTGATGTCTTCATTTTTATGTGTGAAATACCCTCACAGGATCCTCTGAGGCTGAAACAAAAATAAGGAGACTTCAGAGATGGGAGGAACAGCAGGAGCATGCAGCTGTACGTGAAGAACATTCAGTGTGGTAAGTGCTAAAAAATTTGTTCTTCCCTTGTCCTGAGCTTAGTAATGGCACAAGAACAGAAACTTCCCAGGGCTCCCAGTTCCCAAGGTTTCCCACTTTGGAAAATGATCCCTGGTCTGCTGAAAAGTGAGAAATTCCCAGGGGCAAAACACAGCCCCTGAAGGATGGCAAAAAGAACAGGACATTGGTCTGTGAGTGTCTGAGAAATAAGGGAGAGAGAAATTCACGGATCATCCTCTGCCATAGGGAACCAGGAAGGAGCCACTGACTAAAAACCTGAAATGCTGTTCCACAGGGACCCNTATTGTGAGGAGAAAATGAGTTAACAAGCAGGGGACAGACAGGGAAAAATCTCTGGAGCAAATCTGAGGTAGGCTGTAGTGCACAAAATGAACATTTAGAGGTAAACTGAGGCACATCCAGGCAAAGGTTTGAGGATACAATTGAGGTAATGTGTAAGGAAGAGAATGATCATTTTGAGACAGTGAGCAGCAGGGAATGTCGTAATGTGGAAGTCACTCCTATTTATCTGAGGGAGGACTGCCCTAGGAAATGGCTTTACCTGGGATTTGGCTCCTGTAGGGCCTTACAGGATAAGCCTTAGTGCTCTGCGATCCTGTGCTGCTCCTTGCACAAATTCCATTCCTCACTATTGCTCCAGTGTCACTCTTGTCCCTGCTGGGGTTTGTCCCATCCAATGGGCTCTCAAGTGTTTTCTGTCCTGCTCGTACTTAAATTTCAGTCTTTTTGGGTGACTTCTATCCCCCTGCAACATCAAATCAAGTTCCCCAAAAAACACCACTGAACCAATTTTTTTATCCTTTATTTCTCAAATTTCCATTTGTTTCTCTAGCTGCAATAATAATGGACGTGACAGAAATAACAGCAACCAAGGGGAATAAACGGAATGTGACGGAAAATGCTAAATTTTGTCATTTGAGCAGGACCCAGCGTTCACAATGTCCAGGAAGAAGCACAACCATGAGATAATCCAGGAGTGGCTGGGTGCCAGCCTGGGTCTGCAGTATTTCAGTCCATGAGAGTTACAGGATGAGGGATTCCTCACAGGAATGAAATACGACCACAAACAGGGTTCAAGCAGCCCTGTTCCATGGGGAACAGAGAGATTCTCAGAATCGCAGCACCTTTCACTCCCCCCCTTTCTCTTCGAGCTCCTCCATGAGCAAATCCTGCTGCTTATTGACCCAGTTTCCTC